TGAGACAAGCCACCCCAACAGTTGGCAACACACCAGTGTCAGCCTTGGCAGGATAAATCTCCCCAGACTTATCCAACGACTGTGAACATTTAAAACTAACATAGGTCTCATTAAGTGTCCAGTTTTAGGGTCTTACACAGAAATATACCACACAACATGAATCAAACATGTACTTTTATTTATTTACACTAAATATCAAAAGTACATCAAAACTGATTGAAGCTAAGGGCATACAAAACTGTCTAACAGGAAAACCGGCTACGCGACCCCGAGGTTGAAATCGGTTTAGTGCGTTTTTTAACGTCCACGGAGTTTGTAGATCGCATGACGTCCGCACGTGAACCAGATGCGACCTGGGTTATTTCTAGTTGAGTTGGATAGCCGAACAGGTCCGACCAGCAATTCGTCCAACAAGCTGCCCGGACCTCGGGCCAAATCCACTTGTCTCGTCATGAACTCCCCGCATCGGGTCGGGACCCCTGGCTCGGGGAGTGGGGGACAATTGATGAAGGGTGATTTGGCCCGACCTAGTAAACAGGGGACACATGGACATGACATGATCAAGAGATGACAACTCATCTTATCATAAACAGTCCGCAGCAGATCGAGCTCGGGTACCTAACCACCCCAGGCTAAAGTGACCTTGGGACAAGGCCACCTTGAGACGAGATCGCCTCGGTATCAGATTGCAACAAGAACACCTCAATGCCAAGGTACTTTGGCACTCAACCCAGTTCAGGACTTAAAGACGTCAGTTCGGGGATACCGACATACCACTACATGGTGATCCCAAAAACCCCTCCAATGGATTTGGGCGGAAGTGATGAGCCTCATCGGTTGGAAGCATTGTCTTCCAACTAACGCGGAAACGGGTCCTATCGTGACGAAGATCCCGTAACTGATTTGTGAAACCTGCTAGGACTCGACTATATAAAGGCTCCACCCCCAGAGGTTCAAAGTACGTGTGATTTCTCTGCTTTCTAGCTCTCCTACATCCTTAAGCTATTTCAGCTCACTACCAGTTTACTAACTTAAGCATCGGAGCGACCTCATCAGGTTAGAAACTCCGGGTTCTCTGATCCTTCTCTTGCATATCAAGTTAATCCGTCGTCCTTCTGGAAGCCAGATCACCTCTATCAGAAAGCAACTTAATTTTCAGAAGTCATCAATTTTTTTCAGTTCCAATACCCAACATCTAGTTAGAATCAGAATAGCACACATTTTTGGAGTCAAATTCATGAATCCAACAGAGAGATACCTGGTTGGACCTCTACTCCTAGGCCACTCGAAGACTCAAGAATGACAATATTTGGTTGATAGACTTAAATCAGGATTATCCGGGTGGAAGAAGCAAACATTATCACACATGGGCAGAACTGTTCATATCAAATCCACCCTTTAATCCATGCCACAGTACATAATGCAAAATTATCTCCTTCCAGAAACCGTTTGTACAGCCTTGAACAATGTGTGCAGCAATTTTTGCAATTTTTGGTGGACATATTCTGACAAATCCGGTCCTCACCTAAAATCCCGAGATATTTTTCTTTCACCTAAGGATCTTGAGGATTTGGGAATCCGAGATGCTATGCTTAAAAATCAAGCTATGATTATTAAACTAGGATGGAGACTGCTCACTTCAACTGATTCACTTTGGGCTCGAGTCCTTCATGCCAAATATCTAAGAAGTACTTCCTTTCGGTGTGCCAAGCAAAAATCCAGTAACTCCTATATTTGGAATGACATTCTTAAATGCAAGGGATTCCATTGGGCTATTGATGCAATGAATGACACATGGCTACCATTCAAACCACAAAGCCAGAACATAGAATCTCCCACGAGCAAGATAAGAGTTACGGAACTCATTAACCATGTTACTATGACATGGCAAAGGGAGGCAATTAATAATTTATTTGATGCCCACACAACACAGGAAATAAGTGCAATTCATCTTCCAATCTCAGCCTTAGATTTGCAAGACAAACTCATATGGAGGTTCAATCCCCATGGTCGATATACTACGGCTTCCTTCTCGGGCCTCTTGTTCTCAGGCACATATTATTTCTAATAAGTTCACATGGTGAGACTTTTGGAAACTAAAAGGTATTCCACCAAGATTTCATATTTTCATTTGGTGCGCCATTCATAATTTGCTCTCCACTAGAACTCGGTTGAGAAAAATTTTCAAACACATTAGGCGCTTTGTCCTTTTTCTATGTCTGGAGATGAAACAGTGGATCACATCTTCCTGAACTACCCTTTTGCTTCAGTGGTGTGGTTTGGATCTAGTCTGAGACTCCATATATCCGACTTTCCCAACAGAACATTTTCAGACTGGATTGCCGTTTAGAGCCACTTGAATGACAGCGAAGATTCAGCAAATAATATGATTTGGAGATGCATCTCAATTGTATGGACCATCTGGAAGGCTCGGAATGGTTTAATTTTTAACCAAAACAAATGGAGTCCTGAAATGATTATCAACAAAGCAAACTCACTCTCCCTAAGCCAGCGTCTACCTAATTTGCATAATTTAGATGCAAACCCTCAAATTGCATCTTCCCATTCTTTTCAAAACCACTGGGTAAAGCCATGTTCAGGATTCCTGAAACTTAATTTTGATGGGGCCAAATCAAATTCTAAGTCGGGTATTGGTCTGATTGTTCGGGATGATAAAGGAGAAGCAGTGGTGGCTCGAGCTATTCCTATTGTGGCCAATTCGGCATCAACCATTAAAGCCCTGGCGCTCTTTGAAGGCATCAAACTAGCCTTGCAACTGGATCTTCATTCTATTGTTTTTTAAGGTGATGCAAAAATTCTAACTGATTCTTTGTTGGAGGTCAACCCAAATCCTACTTGGACCCTTCTTGTGCTCATCTCTTCCTGCAAGAATCTTCCTAATTGTTAAGTTACATTCACTCCCAGATTAGGTAACAAGGCAGCCCACAAACTGGATAAGTTTGTGCTGTCTTGCTCTTCACCCAAAACTTGGTCTTCAGTTCCAGAGTTTTTGAAAGATATTTGCATTTTAGATGTAACTGATAATTTTCATTGAATGAATTGGCCCTCGGGATTAATCAAAAAAATTATTATATATATATATATATATTTGTACTATACATATTTATATTTGTATTCTTTCTAAATTGAGCCTAAGACTACATTTAGAATCAGTGTAAAACGTTATCAGTGTATACATTTTACATTGAACCAGAAAGTGACCGTTGCTTTTTTGAAAAATAGTGATGGGTGGAAAAGTGTTACAGTTGATGAGGTTTTACATCAACTATCGATATAAAACTACTCCATCTAAACACACGCAAAATTGAACCGGAGTGTAGTTTTATGTTGATAATAATTACACCCTCTTTCCAAACACATACAAAACTAAATCGATGTAAAATTTACATTGATTCTTGATTTACATCGCATCCAAATGCAACCTAAGTGGTATGTGAAAGAACGCAAATGCCCTTCGATTGTATCTATTTCTTTTTTTATCAACCGAAGCGGATAAAGAAAAAGCAATTTGTTAAAAATCGGTGCCCAATTGTTTTGTTGGCCATTCCTTTGCATTGGTGGTGGCATGGTACTTTGATCAATAATGATTCTTATTGAAGGATAATTTTGATATTAAGGTTGTTTTTGGTTGCAGTACAAATTTATTTACACTAGTACAAATGCATGGTACAAATGCATCGGTTCGATTTTCAGTTGACCTACAAAAAAACCGGTGGTTAACCGAACCAACTAGTATATATATTTATATGTATATTTTATATATATTTTTAATATATGTCACATATTTTCTATATATTATGTATAAATATATATTTATTATATATATATATATATAATATTTATAATAATCTATTTTATAAATATATTATATATATTTTATAATATTTATAATATATTATATTTTTTATTTATTTATAGTATAACATTATACATATATTTATATAATATATATTATAAATAAAACTGAAAAACCAAACTGGTCAAAAACCGAAACCGATGGTACCTGTTCGGTTTCAATTTGAAGAAATGAAAAAACCGATGATACCATTTCGATTTGCATAAATTGCCCACGCTTCGATTTACATATCTTAATTTACTTCATTTATACTGCAATCAAACAAAACAAACTAAAATTTGAAACAAAAAAAAAGGACAGAATCTACACTCAAATTATTTGTACTGTCATGGTTTTGCATCAGTGCAAACTTATTTATATTGCAGCCAAACACAACCCAAAAGTTTTAACTTACACATGACATCAAGTGATGCATATAAGTGACGGACGGTTAAAGTCCCAAATTAGGACGTTTTTACTGTATTAATCTACAATTTACCCTTGTCACTCCTTCCACGTGTATTTGGACGTGCCATTCGATTTTTGCTGCTTCAGCAAACCGAGGGACCAGCTGCAATAATGCATGTTTATGTCTCGTATCGACTATCATTCCTTTCCTTCCCTTGTCAATCAAAAGCGATTCGCTATAATTAACCGGGCTACCGATGCCCGGTTGCCCTTCAACTCAGTAAAAATTCCCGAAGGCTATAGAGCAATGACAAGGTAATTTAGAACAATGTTCAGAGGTGAATTTGGTTAAGACGATCATTCTGCCTAATTGACGGACGAGTGCTAGGTGTCATGACATTGATTCCCGAGCCGCTTCGATGGCTTTTTGAGTTTTGACTTCTAGTTTGGCCCGCGAAGAGCATCAACCAGAGAGCTAGCTCAACCGAGCAAGGAACGGAAGAAAATAAATAAAAGATAAATTAATATTAATACCTCAAAAAGCATAAAAAGTTACAAGTTTTGATAACAGAGTACTCCCCCCACTGTATGACCCCGCGTTTCTCTCTCTCAATCGTCTCCTTCTTTCTTCTTCTGTTGCTTTCATACAAGTTTCAAGTTTCAAAACCCTCTCGATGAAGGAGCTGACGAAGCGGAGATCAGAAAGGCGATTGTCATTCCTAAGTAAGCGATTGCTCTTCCTTTGGAACCTGTTGCCCTTGGTCTTTCCTTTCACCATTTTTTGATTCTTTTCGTTCTCTGTTAATTTGTCCATTTAATTCTGTGTATAAACCATAAAGATGATGTGCTGGACTTTCCATCGTTGAAGTTGAAGGTGCTCACGAGATTCCCATGGATGATTATGGGCCATTCAATGCGGTATCCATCATGTATGTCATATTTCTTTCTCATTTAATTTGCTCGGTGATGTGCTTCCTTCTTCATGTTTTCCCTTTTCGATTTGGCCTTGCTTTCTTCCTTTTGGGATTAACAAAGAAAAGAAAAATAAAGAAAGAATGAGCACAGTCGGTGAAATGACAATCCCGGATTTGCAGGAATCGGTAGAGAGACAAAGAGGAAAAATAACACTGGGTGGACTCCTGAGAGAAGTAATGGAGGGTAGGGAGAGAGGGACAAGGTGGAAGAACCTCAAGGAACGGTTAGGATTGAAGGGGATGAATTGCTGTGGGGCCACCTGGGGCTTTAGGCCTTCCAATATGAGCGCAGGAGAAGACGATGAGCATGACGAATACTATTACATAGACCACCAGCTACACGAACGAGCAGAGGTAACGGTGGGTGAGGATCAGCTTCAGGCGCCGGAGAACAGTGTGGTGGACGTGGATCCAGCTTGTGTGGGTCAGAATCCGGCGGGGTCCGGGATGAACCTGGCGACAGCATTGGCAGCGGAGCGTCATTTCAGAGCGGCCCAGGATTCCGAGGGAAGAAATATGGTGGTGGCCCCCACTGGTACAGCCACAGCCACAGCAACAGCAACAGCAACGGCAACTGTGGGCGCAGGAGCTGGCACTAATGCTGTGCCAGGTACGCCGTTAAGGGCATCGTTGATGAGATTGCTGATGGAAGCGGACGGCGTGGATGAAGAGAGGGAGAAAGGAGGAGGAGGAGCGGGAATGGATGGGATGTGCTGCGTGTGCATGGGGAGAAGGAAAGGTGCGGCATTCATCCCGTGTGGACATACGTTTTGCAGGGTGTGTTCCAGGGAACTTTGGTTGAATCGAGGTTCCTGTCCCCTTTGCAATCGTTCTATCCTTGAGATTCTCGACATCTTCTAGTTTCTATACGCATCATCATCATCATCATCCCTTTTCTCCGTCAACTTCTTCTTGATTGTTTGGACTTTGGAATCAAGAGTTATGATTCTATCTATATCCCCCTTTCCTTTTTTTTTGTTTTCTCAATCTATCTTTCCAAATTAAAATATAAAGATAAAAGAATTTGGTGTAAGTTGATTGTTTGTTATGTAACATTGATTTGTTGGGATTGAAGTGTCTCTGGAGATGTTGATTTATCATACTCCATTGATTCCTGTGTTTTGTAGACAGTGGTGTTGGGAGTTAGAGATGGAACTATAGATTGATAAATAATGTAGGGTTTAACTAGAAAGAGGTTCAAAGGCTCCAAATCCATACGGTTTCCCACTTGCATGTTAATTGTTAAAATGGATGGTCCGATTTTTCAAAACATTAGTCATTCGGTACCTAGAGAAGTGGTAATGTAGCACAGGTCGTTCCTCACCGGGCCCAGTCCCGCCAAATGATTGCAACAGATCATCGGGTAACATAGAAATTTTAGAATTCATATGCTCAAATGCCTATCAGAAATTCGAGTTGGAGGTGCACGCATTTCTTATTGGGTCTTTACTTTATGGGTTCGAGTTGGACCCAATTATTATGAGGGTTCAAAACTTGTGAATGGTGCACCTACTACACACACTACACCTTCCTAGTTCCTATTAAGGGCACTGGGCACGGCATTTCAGCCACTCAGTAGTAGTCGCATACCTATTGCCAGTTTGGGCACCCATGGATAGATGTGTACATGTTAATTCTAGACAGATTTCCCCAATCCCAAGCCTCGTATTCATCGAGAAATGGCCTTAGCCCATCCAATCTAACATTAGTGTTTATTATAAAAATATGTACAATGCAAAATACAAGGTTTTTGTACTTTATATATTTTTTTTGTATTGGTACTCCTTCCCAACTAAGCCTTATAAACAATGAAAGATTCTATATTGGAAATTTTCTTTTTGGCTGCATTTGGAAATGATACAAATCAAGGTTTTTAAAATCGACCTAGAGAACAAATTGGTTAGGGGTCTAGTTCTCGGGTCGAACGATCGGCCTATTCTGAGAAAAAATTTAAAAAATGGTCAAAACTATTCGAACGGGTAGCTGTCTGGGTCAGTGGTTTGTTGATCAAAATCAACGGTTTTTGGGAAAAACTAGAAATCAATCACCTCTGGTCCGATTATCCGGTCTGGTCCGGTTTTGAAAATCATGATATAAATGGAGTGTAAGTCCCAGTTCATTGTAAATTTGCATTCTGATTCACTTTTACCTATGACAAATGACAGACCAATGCATATTTGCATTGATAATAAGATGTAAAAGTACATCAATGAAAAAAAAGTAAATTTGCATTCAATTAGGCTTTTGATAAAGAAAAAACATATATTTTGTTGGAATACATATTTGCATCCATTACAGCTAAAAGTCTATTTGGTAAGAAGGTAATTTGTCAATGCAAAACTAACTCAATTTTATAATTTATATAAACTATTTTACACCCTACATATTTGCATTGATACTTCCAAACGCAGCCTTAGGATTTAGTAATTATAACCACAAAAACCATCGCAGCACAAAATAAATAAATAAACAGGGTTTAGTAATGGAAATTTAGAGTTCAGTTCACCGATGATTTACTACTCCACCTATAATTTTACCTGTTTTTTTTTTTTTGATGATCAATAATTTTACCTATTCAATTTACAAGAAGTTCACTTGATTGTTTTACTTGGCTTTGGCTAAAGACTAGCGACTAGTAATTTATTGACTAGCAAATTTACATTTTACCGAGCAAAAATTTTATTTCAAAAAAAAAATACACTGATACACATGTATGGGACTAGGGGAGCAACGGCTCAAAGCCACATGAACCGAAGAGCAAAGTCCACCACGTAGTCGTACGTTACTGTGGATGGGGTCCACAAGTATATCCCACATTTTGGGACCCATAATATGTGGGATTCACATGTGGAACCTTCAGGCGGGGCTAGGGCTACCATGGGGCCTAGAGGCAGGATGCGAGTCATGTTACCTCTTCGCTCAACAGTCAACACACGAAGACAAATATAAAGTAAAAAAGTTTAATTAGGCGTCAAAAATCAAAATTGAGCCAATATTTTCCTCAAATAATTTATTCCATTTGGTTTTACTTTTACGTGGTGGATAAAATGAGATTTTACTTGAAAACAAAGGGAGCATACAAAATGTTGATAACATCGCAATTAATTGATTTAACATATTTTCTTCCGTATAAAACTAGAAATCCCGGTCAGACTGTAGTCAATCGGTTCATTTTTAATTTAATTAATTTTTTATTTTTTAAATGCAATGGATCATTATAGTCGAACTGTTGACCCGAAAACAGGTTCCGGTTCTAAATCAGTTTTTAAAACATTGCTGTTATATTCACAAAATTATGACCTCTCGATATGTTAATAACACTCCTATTTCTTTGCCTAATACATATATGAAATTTTGGAAGGTGATGATTCAAAATGAAAGCTTTGGCTGTTTCTCATTGTCAACAAATGATGGTAGCTAGAAGGAATATCTCCTTTTGATACAACAACTGGTTGGGTAGTGGGCCTTGACGAAGGTTAGCGGAGGCTAGAGCGGTTGGTTCTAGCTGTCAACGATCTTGTCTCTGAACAGAGCTACAGGGAGCTTGAAACAGAGAAGATGAGGAAGCTCCAGGGGGAACTCGGTATGAATGCTCCGAAGCTCAAGTTAGAATTCTTAGCCAAGATAAAACCAGCTGGCGTAAAGTTCACGTACCTTGTTCTTGGGGGTAGGGAGCCTTTTATAACCACCTCGTGCACTCACTCCTAAGCTTCTGTCAGGTCGGGTATGATTACCTCTGGTCTCCTGCCAGTTCGGGTGTCATCACCTCTGTTGGACAGAACCCCCATTGCTCCCTTTTGTCGGAGCCGTCTCTGCGACTGGCGATGACGGTGGCAGGTGGCGGTGGTAGGTGACCGTTGAAGTGCGGCTGTCAAGCGTCAGATCCCAAGTCAGTCAAGTGCGCCGCCCTCGGATACGGACCTCCTCGGTGTCAGGTATGGTACGTTTGCTCAGTTCGGCGTCCTAGAGGCGAAGTGTTGGAGTGGCGAACGAGGTGAAGTCTTGAGTTCGGATAGGGGAGTGTCTCGATCTACCATGAGGCGAGCCAGTTCGGGTCACTACCTTGTGTGGCTCGGGGTCTAAGGGAGAGTTCGGGCTCCTCGTAGGGAGTTCAGGCTCTTAGTAGGGAGATCGGGCTCTTAGTAGGGAGGTCGGGCTCCTCGTAGGGAGCTCGAGCTCTTAGTAGGGAGGTTGAGCTCCTCGTAGGGAGTTCGGACTGCTGATTTCTTCCCTTTGGTGCTTGTGCCCTGGGTGCGCGGTTGTGCCAAGCTGTTTGCCTTTGCCACGTGTTGAGTGATTACGAGGTCGGGCCAAATCTTTCTTCATCAATTTTCCCCCACTCCTCGTGCTAAGGGTCTTGCCTTGGCGCGGGGAGTTCGCAAGGTGGCAGGTGGATTTGTCCCGTACTTCGAATCTCGGTTGACTGATAGCGCGAGGTGCATTGTCAGGGTTAGTTTCTTCGAGCGCCCA